AAACTAGAGTGCCTTTGTGTTTTAGCACTTCTATGTCAAAAAATATTGTAGTTGACGTTCTATCTAGGCTTCTTCTATTGCTGAAATGACTTTTATTGCTTATACAATCTTCTGTTAGATTTTGTCACGTTCAGCCTTTGAAATCACTCTTGCTATGTTTTTGGAGTTTTGCCCTTTTTTCCACTTGCAAGTCGACTCGCTATTGTGAGACTACTTTGTGTCTATGTCTTTTTTGTTGTCTGCTAGTATCTAGCACTATTGTGTTGCCTTGTAAATTGGAAAACAGACGCTTTTTCTTCTTACTAATTTTTGTGCCAAGTGATCGTCGGGGAGAGTTGATTTAATTTTTTTTTTATAGTACATTTTTTAAAGTTTATAAAAAATTTAAAAATTATATATTCAAATAATTTTTATATACAAAAATCTGATAAATACTCTAGTTTAATTCAGTGTTTATTTTTCATATGCACAAAAGTGTGTGCATATATACAGATTCAATCAAATTGCTCTATTTAAAATTTTGATTAGATTTGTACATGTGCGCATACTTTTGTGTATATAAAAAATAAACACTGGTTTAACTACAAAAAATTTAATTTTAGATTTATAATAAAGTTTTTAAGAAAAAATTTTTTTTTTAAGTTTTTATTTTTGTAATTTTTTTAATATACTACTAATAGTACACTTTTAAGTTAATTTAAATAATTAAATTATTAATAAATTTTACAAATTTAAATGCTAATTATATAAATAATTTGGAAATCTTATTATATTTAAAAAATTAATATTAGTTATATTGTAATAATTATTACTTGTAATATAAGCTTAATTTAAGATTTATTGTAAATTATTACTACAGTGCAAGACAGTATAAAACATCCAATCTATATTATAAAGTGCCAATTTTGGGGTTTATATAGTCAATTTTGATTGGCTAGTTTTTGTATAAATAATTTTAATTAGTTAATTAAATATATATATTTTCTTTTTTTTATATTAAATGCCAATTTTTTAAACTATTATAAACTTTAACTTCTTATAACTTTCTTAAAATAAAAAATAAAAAAATTCCTCTAACAGAAATGTAGTTTAGCTAAAAATCTATCACTTTGTCTGAGGGTTTTTTGATTTAAAAAAGTTATAACAATTTAAAGCTTTTATTAATAAATAGTGGATGCTTTATGCTGTCCCACACTGTATACTTAAATTTAATAAAAATTTTATTAATTAAATTTTTTAAAATTTTAACCAAAGTTGAAAGTTTTTATTTTTATTTTTTTTTTAAAAAACTTTAGCATATTTTGCTAGACATTTTATTTTGTAATTTAACCCATATATACAAACATATATACAATAGTAAGTGATAAACTCTGAGCCTGTCAACAAATAGTATATGAAAACTATTTCTAAACATATCTTAGAATTAACTATTACTAAACACCTAACCCTATCTAGTTACTTTTTTTTAGCATCTAGATGTGATAGCTATACCACTTCTGTAAAGTTATACTGAGCCTCAAATTCTGAAACTGGTGACTAACTTTTTGCTAGAGTACATGTCCTATTCATGTATTCACCCAGATTTCAGTAGCCTTCTACTATAGTTTAACCTATGCACTTGAGTCAGGACTAACTATTGAACTCCTGCATCTAACTAGTACCTGTTGTGCTACTATTACTAAGTTTATATCTCAAGCTACCCTTTAAAAATGCTGCCATAACCCAATCTGTATCTTAAGCCACAACCTTTCTAATTAGACTTATTACTTACTTTCTACCTTTGTATAGATTTACAACAACCCCAGTATCTATATTTTAATTATCTTCTTACCTGAATTCTTTATTAGTCTCTCCTTTACTTCCAGCTAGCAACCCAGAAAAGTCGGTCTACCTAGACTTTAGATGTCTGAAAAATACTCTTCTCTTTCAGAGTGTATATCCTTTTCCTTCAATACAACAAAAACCAGTGGTTTGGCTAGTGTGTCCTCCACTATTAGAACCTAGTTACTTAGTTCTCCGATTTCAAGCTCTAGTTTGAATTCAGCCTTATACAATATCATCAAAGATTACCGCTACCCCTAACTTAGAACTTCCCAAATGGGTTTTCAGTTATTCTAGTTTTTTGGATTTATTGCACCAAAGCTCTTATTACTAGATAGTGTAACCAAGATTGCAGATTTAATTCTAGATCTAACTGATAATTGACAACTGTTAACCATAATGCAAGCCTATTTTCCAAAATTCGTTGTCTGTAGGATTTGAACTCTAGATTTGCCACTTGGAGAGAATAATGACTAGACCACTACACTAAATCACTATACCTCCAAAGTTTTTATCTTTTAATTATGATTTCAAATTTAATTTTTAATATAAAATTAATTTATTTTAAATTATATTACTTTAAATTTTTAAAAAATTGTATCTACAGTGCAGAAACCTTTAAATTAACAAATAAAATACATGATTTTTAAAATCTTATAAATAAAAAACTATAACAATTACAAACTAAATCTTTTTATAAAATAATATAATATAACCTAAAGAACATAACTATAGTATTTATTTTTTTAATTAATTAATATTTTATAGCATAGAATTCTTTTAAAGTTAGTTAATTTTATTAACAAAACTAAAATTTGGCTAGTCATATGACACCAAAAATAAAGCATCCTATTGGCCAGAATGCATAATAATAAATCGCATAATTAGTAGTTTGATATAATTGGTTGGTTGATTGTAAGCATATTGATAAATTGGGTAGATCAATGAACTTTATCGCAATTGTTACAGTGAGTTTATTATAGTTTGTATATAATCCTATTACCAAATCTGTAATAATATATTAATATGTTTCAGTAGTATGTAAGCATTGTATAAATACAGCAGGTCAATAGTGATAGAGATGCTTTTTTTTAACAAAATGAAATAAAAACTTTAGAAGGTTTTCCGGAACCATAATTATTTAAGCTATTGAAAAAAGTGTTATTGATATCGATTAAAGAAAAAAGACAAGCAGAAAAAAAACAATAATAAAACCTTATCTAATACTATAGTTGTGAGTAAGATAGACGAATAAGGAAAGTCAAAGATTTTATATTGGGGAAGGCCCAGTTGTTAACCCATTAAACATATAATAAAGAATGAATTTGAGTTAAATAGTTGAATATATCAAAAAGAACCAATGATACTATATTTATCTGGGAATATGGACATTTCAAACTAGCAGTTAAATTTGTAGTATGAAAAATCTATAGTATTTCACACATACAAAAGATTAAATTCACATACTATTTAAATATTATAATGCTTAAATGATATAATAAAATATATTAAAAGTAAAGACAATAAAAAAAAAAAAAAAATTAAATGTAGTTTATACTTATATAAAAAGGCTGGTATTTAAATACTTAATTGACTTTGCAACATTAGTCTCATTTGTCAAATATAACATTTTACTGGAATGGTATGATTATCAAAAAGAAAAGTTCACTTATAAAAGATCAGGGTACAAAGAATAGCTAAGAGAAAGCACCAGGCAGAAGTTTCTGAAACTTGTAGTAGCAGTGGTAATGATGTTGAGGATAGAGAAATAAGTATTTTAAGACCTGAAGAAGCAGATAATATGATTACAAGGTTGATACAAGCAGTTCTAGAAGTAACAACTCATCGGCCACTTGTGTATATTGAAAACTCAGAAAGAACAAAAAGAAGACGAAGACAAATACAGTGAGAAGCTACAGCTAGAACATCCAAATTAGAATCATTTTGGTTACCTATAAGTTATTTTTTACTTAATCTAGCTAATAAATGTAATAATTATAATATGAGAGATACGAACTCGGTAGCGGTAGTACAACATATACTAGTTAGAAAGAAGTTACTGAACATGCAGGTAAGCGCATGTGTAAGACATGCACCGCTCTGTTAGGTTTACTACAAGGATAAATGCCTTCTGTTGTTGGCTAAAGTCTTAGAGTCTTTAACGGTAAATTACTCTCCATATGGAGGTATATTAGGAGGAATCATGTGATGTCGGTTGAAGCCAAAGAGTT